CCTGCCCCAGACTCGCCTCGCCAAGCTGCTCCCGCGGCACGCCTCCCTGGTCGCCTCCCTCCCGTGAGACTCAATCGCGAGCACGCTGGCCTCCTGCCCCTGTTCCTGGGCCTGGGCTGCGCTTCGTACCTGGGCTGATGGTTGGATGACATCGCACCGCATCCTGCACCCCCTTGGCAAGCGCCGCTGTGCTTTCGGGTGTCCTGGCTGCCCCGACGCCCTTCGACACTACGCCCGATGCCGCCCCTTCCACAACGCTATACGTCGAGCTCTGGCGCGCCCTCTACCTCTTCCTGTGCTTCATCGGTGGGGGCTGCTGGAACCAAATCTGCCCGCCGTTCACTTCCTCGCGGTCGCCCACGCGGCCTACAACGCGGCCAAGGGCGTGGAGAGCTGGCCGCTTTCGGCCGAGTCCGCATTCTCCTGTGCTTTGGCTGGGGTGCGCTCTGCCGCCTTGGCGCGGCCCGCTGGGATTTCGGCCCGAGACCGAGTGCTGCTTCGTCTGCGCCGTACGTGTCCCGCACCCTCGTCTTCCTCAACTTCCTCTGCGAGCTCATCTGCGAGTCGCTCGCCGAGGTTGACGCCGCCTGTCTCTGTCTCGTCAAGCCGCTCTACGTCGCCACCTGCTCGGGAGTCTGCTGGTGGCCTCACTCCTGCTGTCTCCTCGCCGTCGACGCCCCCGACCGAGATTGCTACCGACCCCGAGGACGTGGAGTCTCGTGAGCAGGAGTGTCCATCCCAGACCCAGAGACGGAGCCCGTCGATGTCGATTTCCACCCTGCCGAGCTCATCGGCACCCACTCAACGAAGTCAGATGTCGCCGCCGAGTCAGAGGTTGCCTTCTCTGTCGGCTCCGAGTGTGTCCTCGGCTCTGAGTGCCTCGCCATCGACTTCTCTGATGTCATTGCAGTTCCCTTCTGCCCGTGACCGCCCCGCTCCTCTGTGCGCTTCGTGTCCACCGCCCTGTCATCTCTCTTGCGCTTCTTCTGCCGCTCCCTCTTCGATTGCTGATCGTTTTCATTCTGTGTTTGACCCCTCTGGGGCTTGCAGAGCCTCCATAGATCACGCCATGACAGAGTCTCTTGGCCGCATTTCTCGCCCTCCTCTTTCTCCCTGTCCTCGGTTGAGCCTCCCTGGTGCTGCTGCTGCTGACCCTCCCGACTCTCTCTCTCTCTCTCTCTCTCTCTCACGCCGCCTGCGTCCTCGGCGGATGCGCCCCCGCTGCGGCCTGGGCGCAGCAATGGCCGCTTGCCCCAGCGCCAGCCGCGGCGATAGGCAGGCAGGACTGACCTCTCTTACGCTGGTCTCCTCCTCCTCCTCCTCCTCCTCCTCCTCCTCCTCCTCCTCCTCCCCCCTTTTCCCTCCCCCCCCCTCCGCCCTCCCTCCCTCCCCCCCGAGCTTCTCAGAAGCACCTGGCTCCTTCTGAAGGGCCCCCTGCTTCCTTGGGAGGCTTGCCCTCCCCCCCGCCCCCGCGCCACCCGCTCCGCCCAAAGGTCCGCCCTAGACCAGTCCCTGGGCCCTCCCTTCTGGAGCCCGCCCCGGCCAGCTCTTGTTATGGCTCGAGTCGCGCGTCGTGGACGCGGCCACGGGAGGCACCGCCGCACCGCCAGGAGCCCCAGGAATGAGCACCAGGCAAGCACAGTTGTCAGGATGGAACATAAACGCATAGACACACACACACATATATATATATATATATAGATATAGATATATATATGTATATAAAAGTGTCGATCCCAGGGAAAATGCAAAACATGTGGGAGGCGGAGGGGAAAACTCACATTCAGAAAATTTGGAGAAAGTGGGAAAGCCTGGGGTTTGAGTCTATTTATTGGTGCGTCCCTGGGCCCTTTAAGCAGGTTCGCGTCGAGTCGCCCAGCGGCGACACTGCCGCCAGCGTTCAACGTTGGACGCCGCCGGCGACGCAGAATCGTTCCATGTTGTACGATCGGACGTTTCGGAAATTGACGATCGTTCAAGGTTGAACGATCCCCGCGGTGTCAGAAACCAACGCCAGTGTCGACATGACACGAATCTGCCGTAAACGGAGCGCTCACGGGCTGTCCATCCTGGCCGACTCTCTTCGAGATGCGTCCATCCACGGCGGTGGGAATGTCATGGGGGAATGGGACCGAATGGGAACTACCCAGACATCCGACGATGTGATTGTCCAGCTGCCTGCAGCAAGTCTCCCCACCGTGCCAGCCCAGCATTCTTGGTGGCGACTGTTCGAGGGGGCACGGGAGGCCGTCACATGTGACACCTCGTGTCTCCAGGTTTGGGAGGGCCGTGATAAGGATGATGAGGCGTTTGAGGATGATGGGGGGCGATGACGATGTTGATGATCGATGATGTTGTTGTTGATGACGATGATGCTGATGATGCTGATGGTGATGGCGATGGTGGTTGTGATGATGATGATGATGATGATGATGATGATGACGGTGAGGATGCTGATGGTCATGATGATGACGATGACGCTGGTGATCGGTGTGTGATGATGAGGGGGATGAGTATGATGGTGATGATGGTGATGATTGTGATGATGATGGTGATGCTGAGGATGATGATAAGGATTATCCTGGTGGTGATGGTGGTGACATTGTTGTTGATGATGGCGATGATGATAGGTTTGGTGATGCTGATGATTCTGGTGGTGACGATGACGATGACTGTGACGACGACGATGACGACGCTGATGACGATGCTGCTGATTATGATGAGGATGATGATGCAGATGATGGCGATGTCGACGACGATGGTGATGCTGATGATGATGGTGATGCTGGTGATGATAATCATAGTGATGTTGATGCTGGTTATGATGATGATGATGATGATGCTGATGATGATACGGATGCTGAGGATGAGGATGAGGATGCTGTTGATGATGCGGATGGGGATGTTGATGATGATAGTGATGAGGGTGCTGATGCTTATTATGCTTGTGATGATGTTGATGATTATGCTGATGGTGATGATGATGCTGCTTATCATGAACATGATGACGATGGTGATGATGATGGTGATGATGACGAGGAGGAGGATGTTAATGATGCTGATGATGATGGTCATGATGATGAGGATGATGATGATGATGATGATGGCGGTGGTGATGGTGGTGGTGATGATGATGCTGATGATGATGACGATGATGATGACGGTGGTGATGGTGGTGGTGATAATGATGATGATGATGATGATGATGATGATGATGATGATGATGATGATGATGATGATAATAATGATGCTGATGATGATGATGATGCTGATGATGATGATGATGATGATGATGATGATGATGATGATGATGATGATGATGATGACGATGACGGTGGTGATGGTGGTGGTGGTGGTGGTGGTGAAACTCGTTTGGCGTATCTTCGGGCTGTCTTGGTGTGAGGCAGTCTTGGGGGTCCCTGGGGGCCATCTTGGGCCGTCCTGGGGCCCTCTTACGCCGGCTGGGGGTTATCTTGGGCTCTCCTGGGGCGGTGGGGGTCCGGGGGCCGTCGTTGGCCGTCCAAACGCCTTCTGAGGCCGTCTTGTGTCCCACGGGAGGCCCGCTTGGGCTGTCTTGGAGCCGTCTTGGATGCCTCTTGGGCCATCGTGGAGTCCTCGCGGGCCGTCTTGAGCTGACGGCAGCCCGAAAAGGCGAGAATGCGAAACTCGTTCAAAAACCTAAGGGACATCACTGATTCAGGCTTCTTCGGACACTGTTGTATGTCCTCTTGTGGCCCCTATGTGCCCTCCTGGAGGCATATTGGGCCGTATTCAAGCAGTATTCGGCCGCCTTGGGGTCATCTTGGGCCGACTTCGAGGCATCTTGAGCCATCTTGCTGTCCCTGGTTGTCTGCATGGGCCGTCTTGGAAGCTCGGGGCGCATATCCATTGATTTTAACGCGGGATCGTGGCTTGGGAGTCCCAGGAGCGCTTGGGAGCAGCGACTGGGAAGTCGGGACGTGTACGATCCTCGAGCCGGTGCGCGTGGGAAAAGGTGCTTAGGAGGCAGCAGCCATGCGGGAAGCGCGCAATCCTAGAGTCGGCGCGAACGGAGTGAAGGTTCAGACATTAGCTGCCATGCGGGAAGTACACCATCCTCGAGCGGGCCCGCGTGGAAAGGCGGGTCAGGCATTAGCAGCCATGCGGGAAGTGCACAATCCTCGAGCGGGCGCGCATGGAATGAAGGTTCAGGCAGCAGCTACACTGCGGAAAGTGCACCATCCTCTCCGGGGCACGCGTGGAATGTGGGAATTAGGCGTAAGCTGCCATACTGGAAATGTAACATCCTCGCGCGGCACGAGGGAGGTAGCCTCTGAAAGTCGAGGCGATGCATGCAGCAGTCAGCGGGTAGAGGGAGGGGGGTTCTTTATTAGAACTAAGAAAACCCTGTTCCAGACATACCTTGGCACTCTTCCGCGCCTCAACGTGCCAGGGGGCACTGTGGCGGATGACGAGAAGCGCTTCCGGCGTCCAACTTGGCTCTGGGGGATCATCGATTGAAAGTTCAATCCAGGGATTCGGGGTGCTCGAGACATCCTCAAAAAATCGGTTCCGCAGAGGACTCCGAACTAGCAATCTCTTGGAATCGTTCCCCGAGGGTTTCAAAACAGAGCTCCCGAAGGCCCCCAGGGGACTCCAAAAGCGCGCCGAAGGGCCCCCCAGAGGCACCCAGATGCCCCCAAGAGCGCCCGAAGAGGCCCCAGGATTGCCCAAGAGGGCCCCAAGACGGCCCAAGACAGCCCAAGATGGCGCCAAGATGGCCTGAGAAAGCCCCCACAGAACCCTAAGGTATGCCCAGACAGCCCAAGAAGACCCCGGTTGCCCCCAAGAGGACACCGACAGTCCCCTAAGAGGCCCCAAGGATGTCCCAAGATAGCTCAAGACGGCCCCAACAGCGCCCAGGGTAGTCCCAAAAGATCACGAGTACCCCTCTCTTCTTCGACGTCTTTTCCGTCGGACTCCTTACCGTCCTTCTCGTCGTCGTTGTCCTTCTGCTTCTTCTTATCCTCCTCCTCCTCCGCTTTTTCCTCCCCCGTAGCCATTTTGGCTCAAGCATTTTGGGGATCGAGCTTCTCAGGGCATTCTGCCACCATTAGAGCGCAGCGGTGCGCCGTGGCCTGAGGTTCGGGCGAGTGTTGATGGCTGGCAGGCTTGTTCTGTACCTCTCCTGCCTCTACTGCATCGGCGGCGCGCGCGGTGACATTGGGGACATCGACTGCGAATCCCAAGATAATCGGTCGTGGTTTACGCACCAGTACTGCGGTTTCAGGCACTCGCTGGACAGTAAGCTCGAGGAGAAGCTGGCAAGCTTGTACGTCAGCAATTTTTGCGGCTGGTCATTGATATTTTTCTACCATTCCGTGATGTTCGCATGGGCGTACGCCTTCCGTGCGCGGGCACGCGTGGACGCCGCGAGGCGCCGCAACCTCGCGCTGGCCTCCCAGGGCGCACAGCTCGTCGGGGAGCTGGGCGCGGCGGAGGCGAGCTCGCCGAGCAGGCCGCTGCTGCGCTTCGACGACGTGTTCCCGGAGTGGCCCGACGACTTGGCGAGCGACCAGGTGGCAGGAGTTCCGGGCATGTGCGCTTGCGCCCCCGTGCTGCCGGGAGGCTCGCCCCTGCGGCTCGAGTCGGGGAAGGACTTCGAGAAGCGTTTGAGGTCCATCGACACTGCGTGGAAGAACGACGGCAATCAGTCCACGTTTCTGCGCCACGACGCGCCGGCCGTGGTGATCAAGCTCCCAGGACACGGGGGTTACGTCGAGCAGGTGGGGTTCACATACTCGCCGTGGGACAGGAACTACGGCCGCTCGTGCCACGCCTATCTGTCGGAGGACAGCGAGAGGTGGGAGAGAGCGGGCGAGGTGTGCATCCCGGAGGGCGGCGATCGCGATGACCCCAGGTCGAGCCGGACGGCGACGCTCTTCGTGGACGTGCCCGAGAGCATGCAGGGGAGGCGCGTCAGGTTCGTGAAGCTCGACTTCCCCGAGGGCGGCGGGCGCCGTCTGTACTTCGTGTACGTGTTCGGCTGCATTGGAAACGAGGCCGCCGACGTGACGGAGGGGAGCATCGTGAATGTGAAGGGCAGCGACGGCGGCCCTCGGCAGGGAAGGGTCGTCGAGCGCGTGCGCGTCCCGGAGGGCTGCACGGTGCAGCTGGCGGGCGGCGGCCGCGAGCGCGTCCCGCGCGGCAGGCTGGTGGGGCCCGCCGGGGGCGAGGCCGCCGGCCTGGCGGAGGAGGACGCCGTGGGCGTGCGGGGCAGCGACGGCCAGGTTCGGCAGGGCAAGGTCGTCGGCTGGGTGCCCGCCAACCGCGGCTACATGGTTGCGCTGGAGGGCGGTGGCCGTGGCTTCGTCCCGCTCGACAGGCTCCTGGTGCCGTTCCAGCGCCTCCTCGAGGATAACTACATGCACGACATCGCAAACATCTGCAGAAGGCTCGGCCTGAACCTATTGGTTTATTGGGCATACTTCGGAGAATCTCACGACCTTGGGCGTGAGCATCTCCACTCATTGGGCTTATCCCAAGCGTGCAGAGTGTTTGGGGTCGAGGCGAATAATCCTTTCATACACAGCATGTGGCTCACGTTCCTCGACAATACTGTCATCTGGAGTGCCAGGCATGCTGTGGAGGCGTATCTTTTTGGCGCGACAAACGAGGAGGTTAAAGTAGACAAGATGTGGAATCTGAAGACGGTATACGCGCTTCCTGGCTACGCTGGTATCAAAGTTCTTTTAATATGGGCGTCGCAGACAGTACTCTTTTTGCTTTACGTTCTGGTCATGAATGACAAAAGCAAGGTGATCCAGGCTCTGGGCGTTGGACTCAGGAACGAGCATCATCACACTCTCACGTGGATTCTGGGCGTGCTTCTTATTTGCACGGTAGGCGAGAAGGCAACGGGAGATGGTTTCAGCCTTGCGCCTTGGGAGGCAGTTTACAACGTAATCAAAGAGGAGCGTCATTTTTGCCGAAGGGCCGCTCGAAATCTTCCAGTGGTTGGTAGATTGTTTGGCGCCTGGACTGCGAATTCCGTCTACCGCCAGATGCTCTTGAATACCACAGCTATTCTCCTGAGCACCGAGGGCCCACTTGATTTTATCAAGGACGTCTTGGCGATCGCGTTCATCTCAACATTGGATGACGCTGACGATGATGACAAAGAGACGGGCATAGAATTCATGAAGCGCTTCTTCAGAGCATGCGGTAGAAACGAGATGGTGCGGGAGAGTGGAACGGGGCTCAAAAATAGAGAGGCGATTCGTAAACTCAACGACCGGTTGGCAAGAGTATTCAAAGACGGGGCAGAGGAGCAAGAGTGGAAAAAGTTCTTGGACAAAGTGAGTCCACAAGAGGCGTCGATGCTGTGGCTGTCAACCTTTGAATCTGGCAACGTGTACGCTTGTCTTGCGTTTGGTGCAGACTGCAGATACTGCCTGAAATCTGCCGGCTGCCTGTGTTCTGCGACGCGCCCCGCACACCCGCGCGAGCGACCAGAAAATCCAGACTCTGATTACCACGAGCTGCCCTGAGAAGGCCCGCCCCGTGGGCCGCTCGAAGCGGGCTCGAGTTGCGGACGCCTGCGCGCAGCAGGCCTGGACGTTTTGTGCTGCCGCTCTGAGACGGGCTCCTCCGCTTTTTCCCTCCTCGTAGTCGTCCTCTTCCATCTCTTCCTCCTCGTCCTCGTGCTTGTCCTCCTACGCGTTGTCCTTCTGCCCCCCTCGCTGCCCTCCCCGTCATCCACGCTGCCATCCTCGACATCCGCCGCCATGTCGTTGCCATAGTCATTGTCTCCTTTTCCCCCATACGAGCCCAACGGACAAAGTCGGCGCTTCCCGTTCTTGTCCGATCAGGTTTCAATCCCGGCGTTGCTCCAGGACCACCAAGATGGACCGAGGACGAAAAACCAGCCCCAGCGAGGTGGTCGGGACCTCCGTTGCCGCAGCTTGAAAAATCTGGTCGTCGGGTGCTTGGGTAGCCGAGGAGGAAGCAGCACTGGCCTGGCCAGGATCGATGTTATGTATGCATACATATATGTATATAATATAACACACATATATATACATACTACACATGCATATAGAGGGAGAGAGAGTTGATGCCCTTGGATCGAGGGCCGCTTCGCTTAGAGGCGCGGAGCCTTGCGGCCCGACCGGGCAACGCGGGACGGAGCTGAGGATGCAAATGCGCCTGTCCTGGCCAGGCCCACTCTGGGCCCAGGGCCGTGCACATGCCTGCCTGGCCAGGCCAGGAGGGCGTATTGCACCGATCCAACGCTCAGGGAATGCCCGTCCAGGATCGGTTTGCATGTGCACAGCTGCCGCCGTTTACGAAGTACACGCCCGCCATAGAAATACCGCAAAGGGCCCCCATACCCCGTACCTCAAAGTTGACCGGCGACCGCACCGGAGGGGGCGGAGTAAACGCCCTTGTGGCGAGGGGGTTATCATCGTTTCCCGTCGCCCTTGAAGTACTGAGGCGCGGGGGGCGCGTTTTAACGTCTGGTTGCCAGGGCCCTGCATGGGCGTGTCTTTAGCAACCAGCGGTATCCCTCTTTTTTTGTTCTCCCTCTCTCTATATCTCTTCTCCCCCTGCTTTGAGAAAGCTTACGAAGGCCTCCGAGGAGTCGTCGTGCTCGTCGTCGTCGTCGTCGTCGTCGTCGTCGTCTTCGGCCCGCCCCATGCCTGCGCGCCGCCAGAGAGGAGCAGGGGCCCTGAGATCCAACATCGTGGAGATCACGACGGGGCCCTACGCTCGGGAACTTCTGCTTCACGCGCCGCTCCGCCGTTTCTGGCCCACTGCGCTTCGGCGCGACACGCTGTCCATGCCCCAGTCCCCGAGCGGCAGCGTCCCCACCTGCCGCCCCCTGCAGCGGAGCGGCACGCTGTCCGCTTGCAGAGCAGTGCGTGTCGCTGGGGCCGCCGCTGCGATACGCCACGCAAAAGTTCCTGACCGTGGCTCTCTCTCTCTCTCTCTCTCTCTTTTCCTCTTTCTCTCTCTCTCTCTCTCTCTCTCTCTCCTGCGAGAGCACGCACGAAGACCACCGAGGAGTCGTCGTGCTCGTCGTCGTCGTCTTCGGCCCGCCCCCTGTCTGCGCGCCGCCGGAGAGCCCGGGGCCCCGAGATCCGACCTCGTTGGAAAGATACACACACACACTCACACATATATATATATATATATATAACAACATCGTGAAAGATCATGGCACGAGCCGTGTGGTCGGGAACTGTTGCTCAGCGTGTCGCTCCGCCGTTTTGGCCCGCCACGCTTCTGCGCGACACGCGATCCCATTCCCAGGTGTCAACGTCCCGAGCATTTCCGGGCTTTCCGCCCCGCGGAGCGGAGCGGCACGCTTTCCAAGTGCAAGGCATCGCGTGTCTCTTGGGCCGCCACGGCGACACGCCAAGCAAATGTTCCCGACCGTAGACTCACTTTTCTGTTGCATTTCTCGAGCCAGATCGATTCGTGAGATCGTGGAAGTTCACCTTAAGCCCCAGCTTTCTGTTGCAGTCTTGAGCGGGATCGATCCGTGATATCGTGGAATATCCTCCTGGGCCCCAGCTTTCTGCTGCGTTCTTCGATCGGAATCGATCCGTGCCGTCGTGGGAAACGACCCTGGGCCCGGCTTTTTTCTGCAAGTTTTGAGCGGGATCGATCCGTGACATCGTGAAACATCACCTTGGACCTCATCATTTTGCTGGATTTCTCGAGCCGGATCGATCCATCAGGACCCTCGGGGCCCGAAACGGGGCGAACGTGCCCAGCGTGAAGAAATACAACGCGCGGATCTCAGGGTCCTGTCTGACGCCTGAAAACCGCGAACCTCGAAACCTCGGAACTTGAGGAGGTGGGGAAATAATGGGAGGACCGGAGGGGGTCTATCGGCCACGCGCAGAGGGGTGCGTGGGAAGGAGGGCTTCTTGGAACCGCCCTGCTCCTTAGAAGGCGCGGGCCTTCTCTATAGATGTACGGCCAGCGCCTTCTCAGAGTCAACGTCCCTCTAAGAAGTTACCCCCCCTTCCCCTAACCTCTCTGCGCGCCGCCAAGGGAGGGCGGGAAGGGCGGGAGTGGGTCTGCCCAGGCATGCGACGTCATGATTTCATCTGGTACGGGGTCCCCAGAAGTCCCGACCTCTTCCCCTAAGTCCTGACTGGTGTTTCTTCCCGAGTCGTTTTTGGACGGTCCTGGAGCCGGCGAGGGCCCCCCGGACCCCAAAGCGACCAAAACCTTTTGCGTCCTGATGTTTCAGGACGCGAGCATGTCTGCGTGGGGCCGCCGCCCCCGGCACTGCACGTAGGGGATACACCCCAAGTAGGCTATTCGGACGCACCCCTGTCGAGGATGGACGCCCCCCCATCGTGCATCCCAGGGCTGGGCCCCCAAATTCTGGATCCATGCGACAACCCCACGAAGCCTGGGATAGGGATCGACATATCCCTTGTCCTGGGGCCGCATCCCTGGCACTGCGCAAGGAGTGAGTCCACACGAATGGCTCGTTTTTCGTATGGACTTACTCCGTCTGGACTGAGCCTCTCCGGATAGGAGGCTGGGTCCATACGGAGTAAATCCGTACAGAGTGTTCTGTTTCCGTATGGATTTATTCCGTCTGGACTCAACCGCTGCTGACTACACGAGGAGTAGAGAACAGAGAATCCAGGGAGGGGGGGAAGGGAGGGCGGGAGGGGGTCTGGCGCCTCCACCACTGGCACGGCAAGCGCGGGGGCAGGGCTCCACGGCCGCTCCATTGGCGGCATCGTGGCCTGCCGGCTGGCGCAGAGGCACCGGGATGCAGTGCGGCTGCTGGTCGCGGACAGGACGTTCTCCACGCTCGACCAGGCGACGACGCGGACGGCAACGACGCAGACGAGAACGACCGCGACGACGACGACGGCGACGACGCTGGCGACGAGGACGACGACAATCACGACGACGACGACGACGACGACGACGGCGGAGGCGACAAGGACGACGACCACGACGACGACGACGACGACGACGACGACGACGCGGACGACGACGACGGCGACGGCGACGGTGACGGCGACGGCGACGGCGACGGCGGTGGCAGCCACGGCGACGGCGACGACGCGGACAAGGAGGGGGACGACGACGACGACGACGACGTGGACGGCGCCACCGCCGCCGCCGCCGACGCGGACGATGACGACGCGGACGACGGCCACAACGACGACGACGACGCGGACGACGACGACGCGGACGACGACGACGACGAAGACGGCGATTACGACGACGACGACGACGATGACGACGACGCTGACGAGGAGTTGGACGACGACGACGACGACTGCGACGACGACGACTGCGACGACGACGACGACGGCGACGGAGGCGGCGACGACGACGACGACTACGCGGACGCGGACGACGACAACGACGAGGACGACGACGACGACGCGGACGACGACGACGACGACGCGGACGACGACGACGACGACGACGACGACGACGACGACGACGGCGACGGCGACGGCGACGGCGACAGCGGCGGCGACGACACGGACGACGACGCTGACGAGGAGGAGGGCGACGACGGCGACGGCGGCGACGACGACTGCGACGACTGACGACTGCGACGACGACGACGGCGACGGAGGCGGCGACAACGACGACTCGAACGCGGACGACGACAACGACGAGGACGACGACGACGCAGACGACGACGACGACGACGACGACGTGGACGACGACGCCGACGACGACGCCGACGACGACGACGGCGGCGGCGACAACCACGACGTCGGCGATGACGACGACGAGGAAGACGACGACGACGAGGAAGACGGCGGTGGCGGTGACAGCGCTGACGACGACGACGACGACGCGGACGACGACAACGACCGCGGACGACGGCGCTGCCACCGACGATGACGACGACAACGGCCACAACGACGACGACGGGGCGGACGACGACGACGGCGACGAGGACGACGGCGACGGTGGCGACGACGACGACGACCACGACGACGACGGTTGCGACGACGACGACGGCGACGACGACGCAGATGAGGAGGACGAGGGCGACGACGCGGAGCAGGAGGACGATGACGCGGACGAGGATGAGGACCACGACGACACCACCGACGACGACGACGCGGACGACAACGACTGCGACGACGACGACGGCTCGGACGAGGACGAGGACTCGGACGAGGACGACGACGCGGACGAGAAGAACGACGCCGACGACGCGGACGACGACGACGACGACCACGACGACGCCGACGACGACGGCGACAACGACGACGACGACGACGACGGCGACGACGACGACGACGACGACAGCGACGTCGACGACGCGAACAACGACGAGACGGACGAGGAGGACGACAACGACACGGACGACCGCGCTGCCGACGATGATGACGACGACGACGGCCACAACGACGACGACAGGGCGGACGACGACGACGGCGACGAGGACGACGGCGACGACGACGACGACGACGGTTGCGACGATGACAACGACGACGACGACGACGACGACGACGACGACGACGGTTACGACGACGACGACGAGGACGACGACGGCTGCGACGACGATGACGACGCAGACGAGGAGGACGTCGACGACGACGCGGAGCAGGAGGACGACGACGCGGACCGATTCAGGAGAATGGATGGTTGGAGGGTGTAGGGTTGGGATGTCGGCACCTATATTCGGGATGTATATATCGTGGCTGGGGTCATGATGTCTCCCCCGATTCCTTGACGCCCC